CTTTCAACTGACCAGGAGGACCTCTGTTTTGTCTGGATTCAATTTCAATTTGTTAGCTCTCATCCATTCTGACATGGCTGCCAAGCACCAGTTCAAGGTCTAAACAGTCTCCTTAATGACAGATGGGAAGGCATGACAGATTAAAATTAAAATGTCATCTGCATAGAGATACTCTGAAACTCCAGATGATCTCAGCCATGTAGATTTTAAACAACATGTGGGACTCCACAAGACAAAGATTGTGGGGTCGAATAGGTGTCACCCAATAACTTCTGGGACTGACCCTCTAGGAAGGACCAGAGCCACTGCAGAGCAGTACTTCCAAGTCCCATACCTGTGAGGTGTCCCAGAAGGATACCGTGGTCAATGGTATTGAAGGCTGCTTGTAGGTCCAGCAGAACCAACAGGGACACATTCCCCCTGTTTAGTTCCTAGTGTAGATCATCTACTAAGGTAACCAAGGCTGTTTCAGTTCCATGTCCTGGCCTAAAGCCAGGCTGTGCCGGATCTAGATAATCAGTGTCTTCCAAGACCTCCTGGAGTTGTGAGGCCACCACATGTTCAATGACTTTGCCCAAGTCGGGGAGATTGGAAATGGCTGATAGTTGATGAACTGAGTACCGTCTAGTGATGGTTTTTTCAACAGTGGTTTTATAACAGCAGTTGATGCTTGGATGGGGAACTACCAAGGAACGTCAATTGAGTACCTGGAGAGTGAGAAGATAACTCTAAACAGAGAATAAAAAATGGGATGTATATAACCGTAGTCTGGTGAAAAACATAAAATATCAGGAGCAACCTTCAAAGGAACATCAAAAGCTGTAGGCTGTATTTCAAAGGAAGGCAATGGTAAACCATCTCTGGTATTAGTAGCCTAAGAAACCCCTTTGACATGCATGGCATCACTAAAAATTATGGGCAACTTAAAACACACACACACATAATATGAGCATAAAGCATAACATGCTGAGTACTGTAGTCCTAATGCACCTGGACAGCATACTTGGCTGAAGAAGTCTGAACAGAACTGTAGGCATAAATCTGCCCAATATCCCACACATGATTTAGCCCTTTCAGGTTTCTTTGGCTGGAGGCTTTGCCTGTCTATCTCCCTGCTCATAGGAAACAGCATCCTGGGGAATTACTTTCTTCTTCCTTGCAAGTTGTGGTATTTTATCTTCTCAATATACAGGAAATATATATATACACCATATCACATTGCTTCTGAGGTGCCCAAGAATGTTGGAAGGGAATTAGACGAAATATCCAAGGCTATATTTCAGAGACAACAGAACTCCAAGATCTCCAGAGAGAAGAAGAAAGTGGAGAGGCCATTTGAAATCAACAAAACACCACTTTATGGTGAGAAGAAGCAACTTCATAGCACAATCCTATGTGTGCGTGTGAGTAAACTGAGTTGTCTTACATGGGATTTGATCCCAGATATAAGCATCTCAGATTTCAACCAAAGGGAAAAGGGCTTTCTGGCAAAGAAGGAGAGGCAGTGGGCAGCAGATATCCAGAAATTAGCCTCCCTACCAAGGAAGTCTCTTCTCTGGGAAGTCATGTAGAGTCTCATTGCAATCAATTCCTGCTAAATCTATTTACCATATATACTTGAGTATAAGATGACCCAAATTAAGCTGAGGCACCTAATTTTGCCACAAAAAACTGAAAATTATTGACTCAAGTATAAGCCATGGGTGAGAAATGCAGCAGCTACTAGTAAATTTCAAAACATAAATAGATAGCTATAACAAAACATTAATTGAGGCATCAGTAAGTTCAATGTTTTTGAATATTTATATAAACTGTAATTAAAGATAAGATTGTCCAACTCTGGTTAAACCATTATTCTAACCTTCTTCAATGTAAATGTGCTTGCTTATCCTTCCAATATTAATAAAGAGACTAAAATAATAAATGTAATAAAAATGATAATGAGTAAAATAAGGGAAATGTAATAATAACCATAATAATGGAGTAAAATAATAAATGTAATAAAAATAGAGTAAAAGAAATAATAATAGAGTAAAATAATAACTGTAGTAAAAATAATAATAAAGTAAAATAATAAATGCAATAATAACAGTAATAATAGAGTAAATAATAAATATAAAAAGGAGTGAAATAAATGTAATAAAAATAATACTAGAGTAAAATAATGTAATAACAATAATATAGTAAATAATAAATGTAATAATAACAAAAATAATAACATAGTAAAATAATAAATAACATAGACTCAAGTATAAGTCAAGGGGGGCTTTTTCAGCCTAAAAAAGGGCTGAAAAACTCAGCTTATACTCTAGTATATATGGTATATGGAAGTCAGGCTGGCTTGGTTTTTCCTTTACTCCAGCCGAGATTTTGAGTGGCAGCGAGTGTCTCCTTGTTACTGTCCTTGTCATACTACTTGTTCCAAAACAACCACCTGTTGCAAAGCAACCTTTATCATTGCTGCTATCATTAATGGCTTTATGTTGCTGTTATGGATGATATTATTAGTGTAGTTATACTAGGCAGTGGTTAAATAGGAAATAAAGCCAGGCCTAATTTCCTAACTGAGCAAAATAAAATATTAATCTGTCATGAAGTTTTGTAAAATGCATTTGCTTTCATTTATTCTTTGGAACTGTCAAAACCATCTCTGAGAATTCTTTGCCTAAGAAAGTGCTATGAAATTCATGTGGTTTGATTGCCATATGTTGACAGGTGACTCCTAGGCACACATTTTCCTTCCATTGTTTTCCTCACTCTCTTTTCTGTCTTAGGAATACCTTCTGACTATAAGGTCATGTAAAAATGCCTGTGAAAATCATCTTGGTATGGTACAATGATGCTGCTGTGCCAATAATAACAAAAGCAATACCACTATTTTTTTGGAATTTTAAATCTTATTATGTGATTTTATGTGTAATTGCTGTGTAAATTTGTGTTGTCATCATTTTTATATGCTTATGTATTGTGTATTCTATGGGTGTGGCACTTTGGAGTGCTTTTGTTACCTTTGGGGAGATACTGGAAGGATATAAATAAAGTTTTATTATTATTATTATTATTATTATTATTATTATTATTTATTTGGTGTCAGAAAAATGAGTGGAACTGTGAATTGAGATTGTGAATAGGACTGGCTTGTAAACCTCGGGTTACCCATTATATAAATTTAACCCATTCTCTGTAAAGTATCCTTAGATGTGGACAAAACATCAGGAGAGAATGCTTCTGAAACATGGCCATAGAGCCCAGAAAACTCACAGTAACTGTGTCCTTAGGATCCTTGTTTGCCCTTGCCTGTTCCACACACTTTGAGGTGTGCATGCTAGAAATGTGTTGTATACAAATCTGGTCAATTTCGGGTTCCCTCGCACAACCGAGACTGAAAAAGCGACTTTTCTGGACAGCAGTTCCCAGAACGCCAGAGCGGGAGTGAAACAACAAAATCCCCACAACTTTGCCAAATTCTGTGTGAGGCTTGGCCATCCAGCCCTGCCTTCCATACTCCTGACTTCCCTGCTTCCTTCCTTCGAGCTTGGAGTGGGCTTCCGGACCGCGAGCTCCAGACAAGGTAGGCGTGCTAATCAAGGCGGCCAATTGCAACATTCACACTTACCACAAGCAGACAAGAATTCTTTCTCCCACCCTGGACATTCCACAGAAATATAAACCCCACTTGCCTATTTTCCCACAGACCTCACGACCTCTGAGATCCCTGTCATAGAGGTAGGCGAAACGTCAGGAGAGACTGCTTCTGGAACATGGCCATAGAGCCCTGAAAACTTACAGCAACCCAAGGTAAGGGTGATGTGTCTGGGAGGCAAAAGGCCCCTGATGGAGAGAAAAGGGGGAAGGGGGAGAAGGAGGAGGAGGAGGAAGAAGAAGAGAAAGAGGAAGAAGCGGAGGAGGAGGAGGAGGAAAGAAGGGGGTGAAGAAGAAGAGGAGGAGGAAAAAGAAGAAGAGGAGGAAGAATAAGAGGAAAAAGAAAACGAAAAAGAAGAGGAAGAAGAAGAAGAGGAAGAAGAAGGAGGCAGAAGAGGAGGGGACGAAAGGAGAAGAAGAGGAGGAGGAGAGGAGGGGGAGAGGGAGGAGAAGAAGGCGAGGAGGGGAATGAGAGAAGAAGAGGAAGAAGAGTTGAAGAAGAAGAAGAGAAGAAGGAAAAGAAGAAAAAGAAGAGAAGAATAAGGAGAAGGAGAAGGAGAAGAAGAGGAGGAGGAGGAGGAGGAGGAGGAGGTGGAGGAGGAGGAGGAGGAGGAGGAGGAGGTGGAGGACAAAGAAGATGATGAAGAAGAGAAGAAGAGGAAGAGGAGGAGGAAAAAGAGGAGGAAGAGAAAGAAGAGGGGGGAGGAGGAGAAGAGAGGCAGAAGAAGTGAGGCAGAAGAAGAGGAGGAGGGGGTGAAAGGATAAGAAGAAGAGGAGGAAGAAGAGGAGGAGGAAGAGAAGAGGAGGGGGAGAGGCAGAAGAAGAAGGGGAGGAGGGGGATGAGAGGAGAAGAAGAGGAAGAAGAGTTGAAGAAGAAGAAAAAGAAGAGAAGGAAGAGAAGAAGAGGAGGAGGAGGAGGAGGAGGAGGAGGAGGAGGAGGAGGAGGAGGAGGAGGAGGAGGAGGAGGACAGGCAGAAGAAGAGGAGGAGGAGGAGGAGGAGGAAGAGGGGAGGGAAGAAGAAGAAAAAGAGGAGAAGGAAAAAAAGGCGTCGGAGGGCCCGGGGCTGCCGAGGGAGCCAATGGCCTTGTGTCCGGGGGCGAGGGAGGGAGGGAAGGAGGGGCCGGGGGACGAGGGGAAGGCGGGTGGGCAGGGGCACAATGGGCGAGCGTGCAGCGTGGGGCCCGAGGCGGCGCGCCCCTCCAGCCCCTCCAGCCCCGGGCAGTGTGTGCGCGTCACGTGGTCCCCGCCAGGGTCCTATTTAAAGCCGGCGGCGCGTCCCTTTCAGCACCATTGGCGCCGGTCAGCGCCCCGAGCCAGAAAGAGACGCAAGCGAGCGAGCGAGCGAGCCAGCGCCAGGATGCCTCGCTCCTTCCTGGTGGACGCCTTGGTGCTGCGCGAAAGCGGCGCGGAGAAGAAAGCGGTCTCCTCCTCGTCCTCGGGCAGCCCGCCGCCCCCGCCGCTCTTCCCGTACGCCGTGCACCCCTCGCACCCGCTGCACGGGCTCTCGGCCGTCTCCTCCGCTTGCCCCGCCGGGCGCAAAGCCGGGCTGCTGTGCGTGTGCCCGCTGTGCTTGGCCGCCGCTTCCTCGCAGCTCCACCACCCGCCGCCCCCGCCTCCGCCGCCCCCTCTTCTCAAGGCTGCCTTCCCGGCTCCCTTCGGCGCCCAGTTTTGCCCCTCGCCCTTGGCGGCCAGGCAAGCCCCCGCCGCGCCCGCCGCGCCCGCCCTCTACCCGGCTTCTTTCCCGCTGCCGGACCCACGGCACTTCCACTGCATCTCCGTCGGTGAGTCCCGGGGAGGGAGGAAAGGGAGGCGGGAAGCAGGACCACGGGCAAACTTGGACCCTCCAAAACTTTTAGGGTAGACATTGGCCAACTTCAGCCCTCCAGGTGTTTTAGATTTCAACTCCCACCATTCCTAACAGCCTCAAGTTCCTTCCAGCTTTTGCTGGTTATGAATTGTGCTTCTGGCACTCTGGTATATTTTTGTGGAATCACCCCAAGTGGAGCCCCCGGTGGCGCAGTGGGTTAAACCCCTGTGCCGGCAGGACTGAAGACCAACAGGTCACAGATTCGAATCCGGAGAGAGGCAGATGAGCTCCCTCTATCAGCTCCAGCTTCTCATGCGGGGACATGAGAGAAGCCTCCCACAAGGATGATAAAACATCAAATCATCTGGGTGTCCCCTGGGCAACGTCCTTACAGACGGCCAATTCTCTCACACCAGAAGCGACTTGCAGTTTCTCAAGTCGCTCCTGACACGACAACAACAACAACCTCAAGTGAGGGTTATTTTTGAGCCGAACAGCTCTTGATTCCTTTCTATGGAGGCTGAGCATTTAAAGGATTGCTTGAAAAGAGAAGCAAGGTTCTCAAAGCTTACGTGTAAAGAGCAAGGATTAGTTTCCATTCAACAGGATGGAACAGGATTGCAGGAGCTACAACTTCATAAGTTCTCAAAAATAATATGTTTATTAAAGTCAAAAGAAATCCATTCTGGATAGAAAAGGTTCTTGGAGCTATCTAGCTTCACTGAGCTATTTTCTCAGAAAAAAGAGGATAAAAAAAACAAAATAGCCATGCAACTATATCTTGCCTGGAGATGGGCAAGATGCGTCCTCACTCACTGGAGACAAAAGGAAGAGCAAGGACAGAGCCCTTTCTACGACCCTTCTTGAGATAGGCATGCATAGGGGATTTGGGGAAGGAATCCTTCACTCTAATTCCATCTAGGCTAACTACTCATTGAGGGCTGGAGACTTGTGCAGTCAAGGATGAAACCCAACATATAGGATGAGCCTTAACCTGGTGAGGTGGATCTGCACTTCCCTATATCCCAGGATCTGATCCGATGTTATCTCTTTATCCCAGATTATCTGACAGTGTAGACTCGTATAATCCAATTCAAAGCAAACAATCTGGGATCAGATCCTGGGATACAGGGCAGTGCAGATCCAGCCTAACTATGCATCTGTTGACTCTGATGAAATATTTTAGCATAACCTCCAGCAGTTAGGAAATACTTGTCCAGGAATGTAAGTCAGGAAATATTATTTAGATATTATTATTTAGTCCCTTCTATTGCCCCCTACAATGGAGAGGCAGGGTCTGTCCGTCTACTCTTCTCTACAGCACCTCAAATTTCCACAATCTCAGACTCACTTGGTTTTAACAGACGTGTACACAACTGCAAAGTGACTCACTTCATGGGAGTTTTCCATCTAAAATTGCAACTTCTGGGGATTACCAATCCTTAGTGGTTCTCAACCTATGATTACCCAGATGTTTTGGCCTTCAGCTCTCAGAAATCCTAACAGCTGGTAAATTGGCTGGGATTTCTGGGAATTGTAAGCCAAACACTTGGGGAACCACAGGTTGAGAACCACTGCTTTATAGGGAAGCTACGATTTCCAGAATCTCCCACCAGCATACTGGTGGGAAATTCTGGAAATTGGAGACCCAGTAGCTTTCCCCAGTTCTTCTTGGAAACAAACTCCATTGTGATAAAGTCTCAGGCATATTCCCTAGTAAGCAGATTTGTTTCTGATGTACATCTAAACCAGAAGAAAGAGGATCCCAGCCCAGTTTGATGGGACTGAGAATGTAGCAGAGCATGGAAATGTTCTTCAAGAAAGAGAGCTGGGAGCTGTAGCCATAAAACGGGGACTTCTCCCAGCCCTGAAAACGTTTAAGACTATCAACAAATTAAGGACGAAGCAGAGCAAGATTTCTTGCCATCCTGATGCTTCGTCCAGTGCTGGAATTCAGCAATGCTCTACACAAGAAGTACCTCTCAAGATGAGAAATTGATAGATCAGTAGACAAGTTTTTGGAAATTGAATAGGAAAACACATCCCCTGACTAACCCTCCTCCAGTCAGCACTCCAATGGAGAGCAGTTAGTGGAAACACACTTTAGAAAGTGAACCATTGCCAAATAACAACCAGTACAATCAGGCAATCTGAAAGCTTCTGTACATAAGCAGAGTGACCAGAATTTTCTATACAAAATTCCAACAGCTGTTGAGATCCCAGCACCTGTTGGGATTTTGTGTAGAAAAACCAGTAAAGTTTTTAAAAGCTTTATTTAAAATAAAGGACTAAGTAGGACAACAACCTAGTTCTTTCTCTGTCAACTATGTAGTTCTCCTAAAAATATTTTTGTAACTATATGTTTTTGCTCCCTAAGCTTTATATTTCATTCAAGTTCCTCAATTCTGGGCCCATAAACCATTGTTCACAGAGAGAGTGCTATTATTATTATTTTAATAAAGTATGTCATTATTTCTTTAAACTTCATACATTCTGAGCCCATAACCCTTTGTTCACACAGAGAGTGCTCTAATAATAATAATAATAATAATAATAATAATAATAATAATAATAATAAGTATTTCATTATTTCTTTAAACTTCATCAATTCTGGGTCCATAACCCTGTGTTCACAGAGAGAGTGCTATAATAATAATAATAATAATAATAATAATAATAATAATAATAATAATAATAATAATCACAACAACAACAACAATGAAGTATTTCATTATTTCTTTAAACTTCATCAATTTTGGGCACATAACCCTTTGTTCACAGAGAGAGCTCTATAATAATAATAATAATAATAATAATAATAATAATAATAATAATATCTTTCATTATTTAATTAAACTTTATCAAGTCTGGGCCCATAACTCATTGTTCACAGAGAGAGGACTATTATTAATATTAACTTTATTTATATCTTGCCTTCCTCCCCATAGTGACTTAACCACACAAGAAAAATACAATTTAAATTACATTTAAAAACTCTCTCACACATCACCCACAACTTCTGCAGCAGAATACCCATCATCCTCTTCTAATTGCCTGATGGTAAAGAAATGTCTTAACCTGCTTGAAAAAGGCCAGCAGAGATGGGACCATCCTGGTCTCTCTAGACTGGGTATGGGCAAACTTGGACCTTCTCTCCAGGTGTTTTGGACTTCAACTCCCACAGTTCCTTACAGCCTCGGGCCCTTTCCTCAGCTTAAGTGGCTGAAGGGGAAAAGGATGGAACCTGATGCTTTTAGGAATTGTGGGAGTTGAAGTCCAAAACACCTGGAGAGAAGGCCCAAGTTTGCCCACACCCAGTCTAGGGAAGGAGTTCCAAAGTCTGGGAGCAGCCACCTAAAAGATGTTGAATGTGTTGTCGAAGGTTTTCATGGCCGGAATCACTGGGTTGCTGTAAGTTTTGGGGGCTGTATGGCCATGTTCCAGAAGCATTCTCTCAGGGGCAATGTCAGGAGATGTAGTTTTTTTGGGCTATATGGCCATGTTCTGGAGCAGTGGTTCTCAACCTTGGGTCCCCAGATGTTTTTGGCCTTCCACTCCCAGAAATCCTAACAGCTGGTAAACTGGTTGGGCTTTCGGGGAGTTCCTGAGGAGAGAATGCCTCTAGAACATGGCCATATAGCCTGAAAAAACCTACAACAACCCAGTGATTCCGACCATGAAAGCCTTCGACAATACAATGTCAGGAGAGATTGCTTCTGGAATATTGCCATCCAACAGACCTCACAACCTCTAAGGGTGCCTGTAAGATTAAAATATGTAGGATTTACAGCAATCCAGCCACCGAAAGATAATCTCCCTTGGTTTTTTTCGGGCTGTATGGCCATGTTCTAGAGGCATTCTCTCCTGACATTTCGCCTGCATCTATGGCAAGCATTTTCATCTCCCTTGTTCCTGTGAGATGCCCACGAGTGCGTGGTAGAACAGAGAGAAAGGCCTCTCCAGAGGGTTGTGGAGATAGATGGGTTCCTTCAAATAGCCTTGTAGGTCCAACCCTTCTGACGCTGTGCTCCTTGCCTTCTCCTCCTCCTCCTCCAGACAGCACCTCTGGCCAGCTGCCCAGCAGCAAGCGGATGCGCACGGCCTTCACCAGCACGCAACTCCTGGAGCTGGAGCGGGAGTTCGCCTCCAACATGTACCTGTCGCGGCTGAGGCGCATCGAGATCGCGACCTACCTGAACCTCTCCGAGAAGCAGGTCAAGATCTGGTTCCAGAACCGCCGCGTCAAACACAAGAAGGAAGGCAAGGGCGGGGGCGGGGGCGGGGGCGGCGGCTCTCACCGGGCCGGAGCGAGTCTGGTTCCCAGCTGCAAATGCGCCTCTTTTGCCACCGTCGCCGCGGCCTCCAAATGCTCCGAAGACGACGAGGACTCTCCCGCCTCGCCTTCCTCCTCCGGCAAAGACGAGAGAGACTTGGCCGTCACCCCTTAAGCCTCTGCGCCCCATGTAAATAACGGACAAGAGAGACTCTGATCAGCCAGGCAGACTCTGTCAAAGCGTCTCCCTTCAGAAGGAGAGTGTAAAATAGCGCTTTCCCTCCCACTCTGTGGATTGAAATAAACTCTCCCCAGTGGGGATCAGGCCCCATCTTTCTCCCTCTCTTGCTTTCCTGGGCTCTCTCTGTGGGTGTCTGTTTGGGGAATTTTCTGCTTTGCTGCCTCCAAACCGCCTTCATGGGAATCCAGGATAGATCCCACCACACAAGAGGTCTTGCTATTTGCTTTCATGGGTGGGAGGGGGACGTTTTAATTCCCTTTTCCGTCTTCCCCAATTCGAAAAAAAAAATGACAAAGTTTATTGAGCTGTATGATGCGCCTGGCGCTACTGCTGTCTGTAATCTGCAGAGATATTTATTTATTTATTTGTGTACATATACTGGAAATAAAATACAATAAAGCCTTTCCCCCTCTCCTCCCTTTCTCATTCAAACCTTTTCTCTTCTCACCTCTACAGGAAGGTATTTGGGCGACAGGAGGGGCTTGAGAAATTGCAAGTAGCTTCTGGTGTGAGAGAATTGGCCGTCTGCAAAGACGCCTAGATGATTTACCTCCCTGTGGGAGGCTTCTCTCATGTTCCTGCATGGGGAGCTGGAGCTGACAGATGAGAGCTCACCCAGCTCCCCGGATTTGAATTCAGTCAGCAGTCCTGCTGGCACAAGGGTTTAACCCATAGCGCCACCAACCATTTGGATATAGGCTTTTCATGGTTTTTAGGGTTATTCCTGGAGTTATTTGGGGCGTTGAAGCAGAAGATTATATTGGATAGATGCTCTAGCTTCTTAAATGAATATCTATGGGTGAGCAGATGAAGACTGGTATATGTCATAATATGTATCTCAAAACACAGAGTTATGGGCCCAGAATTAATGAAGTTTAAGGAAATAATGAAATACTTTATTATAATAATAATAACTGAAATGATAAAGGGTCTGGAGAACAAGCCCTATGAGGAGAGGCTTAAAGAGCTGGGCATGTATATCCTGAAGAAGAGAAGGCTGAGAGGAGACATGATAGCCATGTGTATAATATGTGAGATGAAGTTATAGGGAGAAGGGAGCAAGCTTGTTTTCTGGTGCCCTGGAGACTAGGACGCAATGGAACAATGGCTTCAAACTACAAGAAAGGGGATTCCACCTGAACATTAGGAAGAACTTCCTGACTGTGAGAGCCATTCAGCAGTGGAACTCTCTGCCCAGGAATGCGGTGGAGGCGCCTTCTTTGGAAGCTTTTAAACAGAGGCTGGATGGCCATCTGTCGGGGGTGCTTTGAATGCAATTTTTCTGCTTCTTGGCAGGAGGTTGGACTGGATGGCCCATGAGGTCTCTTCCAACTCTATGATTCTATTATTCTAATGATGATGATGATGATGATGATGATAGCACTCTCCGTGAACAAAGGGTTATAGAATTGATAGGGCAAAACTCATGCCATTTTTGGAACCGGCATGGAAAATATCCCCAGAAACAGGTTTAACATTCAAAGCAACAAATGTGTGTTGGATCAGTCCCCTGGAATTGCCAAATCTATGGAGTATTATCCAGAAAGAAATTCCCCTTTCCTGCTCCCAGTTTCCAATTCAGAAGTGTAAGTCATAGGTTTAATGTATTGAAACAAATGCAGCTAGACTTTAGATCATTTGGGTTGAATGGTGCTCAAAATCTGGATGTTCATCAGATGTTTCATTCCTGCCTGGTTGTTCCTGATGTGTTATCACAGGCACGGGCAAACTTGGGCCCTCCGGGTGTTTTGGACTTCAAGTTCCACAATTCCAAACAACCTCGGGTCCTTTTCTGAGGGAAAAGGAAAAAGAAAGGATGTTAGGAATTGTGAGAGTTGAACTCCAAAACACCCGAAGGGCCCAAGTTTGCCCATGCCTGTGTCAACGGGAGCATAGCTTTCAGATAATTCAGATAGTGAGCAGTCTGGTGGTGTGCTTTCTCGGCCAACCTCACCCTTCAGAATATGATGTACCGATCTCAGTAAGGTAAAATAAGATCTAAAGATAAACATTGGCACTTAAATATGCACGTATACATGCTTTCATGCACAACCTTCAAATGGCCACGAGAGCTGAGAAGGGCTGAGAAGGTATACAAATATAGTAAACAAATAAATAATAATTTTCCTTTGGAAAAATCAGAGGCAGATATAACTAGGTCCTTATGAAATATGGAAGGCTTTTATAAATACTTGTCTATTTGGGTGGGAAAAAATAGACTCTCTTTTCTACTGGGTGTAGTCCAGCTGACGTGTTCAATGTGTCAATATTGAGCACCGAAACCTAAAAGCTATTATTTAATCCTACTTAGACCTATCAAATCAACTGTTGTATGGTGAATCAAAACATAGCTAAATTCCATTGTTTGGATGGATCAACTTTATTTGAAGCTCAGTTTCATAATGGTTATCTGATATAACAATACACACTGATCCAGAGTCTTTATATAGGTAGTAGGTACACTTCCTTTACAGCCTCGAAATATTCAACATTGTGCCCCTTAGATATACCGGTAAATCTCAAACTAAGTATCTGTAGAGACCTATTCTGCATCCGTATGTACGCATGTTCTGTCTTTAGTAGAGAGGACATCATTTCCAGATGGAAGGCAGTTGCTTGATCTTGTGGATGGTCCATGTTTCTCGCAGGTGTACAATAGAGTTGGAAGGACAAAGGTTTATAAACAAGCATCTCCGGTATCCCCACGAATGACCCAATGTCTCGATCCTCAAACAATCTCTGCTTCGGGTTGCTGTGAGTTTTCCGGGCTGTATGGTCATGTTCCAGAAGAAGCATTCACCTCACAATTACTGAGGATGCCTGCCATAAATGTGGGCGAAATGTCAGGAGAGAATGCTTCTGGAAAATGGCCATACAGTTCGTAAAACTCATAGCAACCCAGTGATTCCGGCCATGAAAGCCTTTGACAACACATACTCTCTCTGTATTGTCGATGGCTTTCATGGCTGGAATCACTGGGTTGTTGTAGGTTTTTTCGGGCTATATGGCCATGTTCTAGAGGCATTCTCTCCTGACGTTTCGCCTGCATCTATGGCAGGCATTCTCCTCACCTCACTACCTCTGAGGATGCTTGCCATAGATGCAGGCGAAACGTCAGGAGAGAATGCCTCTAGAACATGGCCATGTAGCCCGAAAAAACTTGCAACAACCCACATACTCTTTGCTTCGTTAAAAAAAAAAAGCTGTATTTCTCCAAGGACATACTTCTCTTCTAGCTCTCTCAAGCTTTACGCATTAAGTAAGATTGGTACCCTAGCTTTAGGATCAAATAGCAAAATGTCTTCTAAACAGAGCTATTTTGACAGTCCCTTCCTCTAAAATAGAACCTCTTTTGAACCTCCTTGTAGAGAGAGAAAAACACAGTAACAAGAATGAAATAATACTTTCATGTCTGAGGGAGGGAAAATAATTCGGAGGACGGAGAAAGGCAGAAAGGCGAAGCGCTTCGATGGCTATACGCACATCCTTCTCCTTTCCCCAGGATCCAAACATAAGGAAGAACATTCACGGATGAGTGTATTCGTTGGTCAGGAAACGTTAGTTGGAGATTTATATGGTTTCAAAAGAGGACGCCTCCTCCAAGGTCAATTTTCTCCGTGCGCCTTGGTTTCCTTATTCTCCTCTCCACAAATCACGAGTGCGTTCCAACGTTGGAAAAGAGGCTTCCTTTAAAGGAGAATCGGGATTTCCTTGAGTCCCAAGATGCCAGTTGGAAGGCACCTCAATTCCACCTCCCAGTTGAGATCCCTTCTTGACTTTGGGGGTGAATGAGGGTGTTCCTCCTCACCCTGCTTTGGAGCTCCGCTGAGGTTTGGGCGCCTTTCTCCAAGGGCGCATTTCTTCCTCCGAGAGCGCACGGAGCGCACGCCTTGTGTTTACATTTCCTCCACCCCGACTCTTTCCCAAAGGCAGCTCGTGGCAGGAAAAACAACTCAGGGTCTGATGTGCCGTGTAGATCAACAGACTGATTGTGGCATCTGCTTTTCTCAGGCAGAATTCCCTTCCATAGATGCACGATTTCTTTCTCCTCCATTGGGCGCGATGGATAGGAAGATTGCGCACAGAGCAAGCAAACAGTCTCCTGTTGCTCTTGATTTCCTGGTCAAGAAGACTGGAAGCAACGGACTGACATAAACAAAGGTTCCTTCTTGATTCTTCCACGGACACGAAGGACCTCTGGGCAAAACGTTTCATTCATTTCCGTCCTCGCCTTAGTGGGCAAACATCTCCAATTCCGCTGAGATAATTGCGCCTCGAAGTAAATCCACGGCGTTTGCAATTATTCATGATTATCCCATCATTATTGAGTTGTAAAGGGATCAGTAATGTAGAACAGCATTGGCTTCCCTTAGCCCCAGAGGTGTTGGCCTTGGGAAATGCGCAACAGGAGCATCTCCGGGGTGACCAATCTGGTTTCCCTTGGAGAGAGCTCGCTCCAGAGCAAATGCGCGCAGACTTAACACGGTCGGCTCTAAAGCAAACTGGAGATGGGGAAACGGTGGGGATGACTGTGGACACACAGGTGAATATTTGGAACGATAGTGGCGGGATCCGACCTGGTCTCTGCCTACTTTGGCGTCGCCCTTAGATGGCTGCTTCTCTGTTAATAGAACTTCTTTACCTTCTTGCGTTTTTCTGCAATTGACTGAAGTACTGAGACTGACAGGGAGACGGTGACCTACTCCTAGCTAAAACCTCCTTTAAGCAGGTTAAATATCTAGGAGGCATTATTACAATACGGTAAGGTAGCCTCTAATTCAATGTTTCCCAACCTACCTAATAATGCCGGGACCCCTTAATACAGTTCCTCGTGTTGTGGTGACCCCCCAACCGTAAAATTAGTTTCGTTGCTACTTCATAACTGTAGTTTTGCTACTGTTGTGAATCGTAATGTAAATATCTGATATGCAGGA